TAGAAGTATGAGGGGGGAATCTCATAGAAACATACACAATCCTGATGGGACTGGATAGGCTAGATGCAGGAAGAATGTTCCTTATGTTGGGGAAGTCCGGAACTAGGGGTGACAGTCTAAGAATAAGGGGTAAACCATTCAGGACTGAGATGAGGAAGAATTTCTTTACACAGAGTTGTGAACCTGTAGAATTCGCTCCCACTGGAAACTGTTGGGCCCAGTTCATTGGTTATATTCAAGAGGGAGCTGGACATGGCCCTTGCAGCTAAAGGAATCAAGGAGAGAAAGCGGGAATGGGATACTGAAATTGCATGCTCAGCCATGATCATATTGAATGGTGGCGCTGAATGACCGACCCCTGCACCTATTTTTCTATTTTTTTTCTACATTATAGAAAGAACTACAATTCTCAAAGGCAGGCTGGATACATGACTGGACATGGGTACCCTCCTTAGCAGGGACAACAGGGAAATGTTTGTGGAGGGTCAGAGACCAGGAGACATAGCCTCAGGATAAGGGGCAGGATTACAGAGAAATGGAAGATAGCAGAAATTACACAATGAAAGAGAGCTGTAGGGGACTATAAGGAGTATGAGGTGGTGAAGGAAATTAGCATTAATAAAATTGTATTGGTGAAATAACTGGGACTAAAAGTGAATAAGTCCCTGGGGTCTGTGGGTCTTTATCTCAGTGTGGAAGCAGGTGGCTGTAGAGGTAATGCATTAGAACATAAAACATAGAACACAGAACATTACAGCGCAGTACAGGCCCTTCGGCCCTCGAGGTTGCGCCGACCTGTGAAACCAATCTGAAGCCCATCTAACCTAAACTATTCCATTATCATCCATATGTTTATCCAATGACCATTTAAATGCCCTTAAAGTTGGCGAGTCTACTACTGTTGCAGGCAGGGCATTCCACGCCCTTACTACTCTCTGAGTAAAGAACCTACCTCTGACATCTGTCCTATATCTATCACTCCTCAAATTAAAGCTATGTCCCCTCGTGCTAGCCATCACCATCCGAGGAAAAAGGCTCCCACTGTCCACCCTATCTAATCCTCTGATCACTGATTATCTTCCAAAATCCACATGATTCCTTTGGATTGGAAGGTAGCAAATATCCCCCCACTGTTCCTGCGATAGGAAGGATGCTATTAAACTGGAAAGAGTGCAAAAAAAAATTAGAAGAATGCTACTGAGCGTAGAAAGTTTGAGTTATAAACAGAGGCTGGATAGGCTGTGATTTCTTTTCCCTGGAGCATAGGAGGCTGAGGACTGACCTTATAGAGGATTATAAAATCATGAAGGGCATAGATCAGGTGAATAGCTAAGATCTTTTCCCTAGGGTAGGTGAGGTGGGTAAGATTTAAAAGGGACCTGAAGGGCAACATTTTTCACACAGAGGATGGTGCGTACATGGAACGAGCTGCCAGGTGAAGTGGTAGAGGGAGTACAATTCCAACAGTCAGAAGACATTTGGACAGGTACATGGATAGGAAAAATTTAGAGGGATATGGGCCAAACACAGGCAAATGGGACTAGTTCAATTTAGGAAACCTGGTTAGCATGGACAATTTGGGCCGAAGAGCCTATTTTTGTGCTGTATACCTCTGATTCTATAAGTTGGGGATATAAAATTATAGATAAGAGACCAGTGGGATGGTGTAACTAAGAACTTTTTTTTTCCCCCACGAAGCGAAAATAACCTGGAACCTGCCACCTACTAGAGGAGTGGAAGAAAAGACAACAGATGATTTGAAAAGGAAATTTGATGGCTGCTGAAAGAAGTAAACTCTAAGGACTACAAGAATAGAGCGGGGGAATGCAGCTGACTGGATGTGATCTACAGATCTGGCATGAAAAGAAGACATTAAATGGTCTCCTTCTGTGCTGTCAATTAAATTGTTGCAAACATATCTGAATATTTGATGATATTCAAATGCTACTTTAACACAAAGCATGTACCATTGAATTATTTCATATAAACAAAGACACCAATCCATTTTTAAAAGGAAAATTAACATTTTCAAATGACTGGCAAGCGATACATGATCAAATATGCATTCATAGTCGGAAATCTTCCTGCCATCGCTTATCAGCTTATCGGATCTGGATTGGCAATGACCCTATGCCAGTTGTTAGCATCCAATTCACTGGTCATGGCTACAGATAACGACTCTGCTTGCTGCCACAGTATAACTTCCCATCATCTCTTACATCGATACTGTCCGTCAACTTACAAAATATACAGATTACTGCAATTAATTGTTTACAAAATTGCCAAGGGGCAAGGGAGAAAGCATTCAAGAAAAGAGAGGAAAATAAATTTGGCAACATGGAAATTAACAAAAAAAAACACTTCATCTGGACTGCCCGTGCAATGACACTAGAGACAAATCTTAACACAGCTTTAATATTTGCTATATCAAGGAAAAAATGTCAGTCTTCTTTGATTGTTTAGTTCAGTTTTTTTTAAAAAAACAATAATAATAAATTTCCAAGCAAAAAACTGAAAAATTCAGCATGTCAACTGTTTCTCTGATAATATTTGAATCATAATAAGACAGACCATGAAACACAGTGCTGTTTTTACAGGCCAAAAGCAAGTTTTCAAAATGCTGGTAAAAAATGTTTTAAAGATCTTACCTGTTGTTTAGATTGGTGGACAATGGAACAGTCACATTAGGTGCTACAGCTGCATGTGTTAGCGGACTTGCATTTTGTGATATTGAGATGGGAGTCTGTATAACTCCATTTAAAGTACCCACAAATCCATTTATTGCTAGTTGATTTCCTGGTAAAGTTCCCATTAGTCCACCTACTGAAGACATCGTGGGGATGGAGGAGGCCATTGTCTGCATACCACTAGCTAGTGCTCCTGACATACAATTAACCTGATGCATTCCTGATCCTTGCAGAGCTGGACTCTGTCCAGTTGTGGATGGGCTGGCAAGAGAAGAACTGCTCGTACTATGTCCACTGCAAGCTCGTTCCTAAAATGATAAGATTCAAATTTACTACGCAGCTTCTTTACAAAGAAACATAAGGCAACAAGTAACTTAATTATGACTATTATACTACATAAACGTAAGTTAATTAATAAACAAAGTTCTTCACAAAGCAAAGACATTGAAAATTAATAAAGATGACAAAAGAAAAAGTGACGAATAATGGATTAAGGGGTAATTGCAGAGTACCATGTTGGGACCAATTTTCTGGTGAATCAAATAACTAGGGCTGAAGAGAGAGCTTTAGACCAATTTTGGGGCCGGGGGGAGCGGAATGCAGACTTGCAAGATAATATGACAGCATTACAAAGCAGCTACTTTGATAATGATACCCAAGAGTGGGACAGGAAGAGACAGTATACAAACATCAAAACATAGCAGTGAATAGGGTGAAGGGGGAATAATTGTAAAAGGGCAAAATTAATGGCTCTTCACTTGAATGAGCATAGCATTCAGAACAAAATTAATGAATTAATAGCACAAATGCAGGGTAACATACGTGATCTTATAGCCATTACTGAGACATGGTGACAAGTAGGTCAAAGCTGGGAACTAAATATTCAAAGGATGTAACTTTTCAGAAAAACAGGAAGGAAAGGGTGGTGGGGTAGCATTGTTGGTACAGGATGGAATAATTATGATAGCAAGAAACAATCTCGAATTGGAAGACATAGAATCCATATGGCTGGGGGAAAGAAATAAAAAGGAAGACACTGGTATGAGTTGTCTGTAGGGTCCCTAACAGTAGCTATATTGTGGAACAGAGAATAAATCAAAAGATATTGAAGGCATGTAACAAAAGCAGTCCATTATGCATGGGTGACTTTATTCTTCATGTAGATTGGGATAGTCAGATTGGCAGAAGCAGCCATAAAGAAGAATTTATAGTATGTATTCAGGACAGTTTCCTAAAACAATATATGATGCATCCAACCAGAGATCAAGGCAGTTTGGATCTATCAATGTGTAATGAGGCAGGTTTAATAAATGATTTCAGAATAGAAAATATTCTAGGAAACAGTGGCCATAACATAGCAGAATTTGGTATTCAGTTTTAGTGGGAGGGGGGTGGGGGGAAGTTTGGGTCAGCAACAACTGTGTTCAGCTTAAATAAGGGTAATTACAGAGGAATGATGGCAGAGCTGGTTAGAATACACTGGGAAAGGAATCTAGCAGCAAGGACAGTTGAGAAACAAAGGCAAACGTTTAAGGAAATAGTTCATGGCTCACAATAAAGATATATCACAGTGAGGAACAGAGATTCTAAGAAGGTGATAAGCCAACTATGGTTAACCAGATTCATGGTAAACCAGAGGATTGAGAAAGTTTTAAAAACCAACAAGATTATGAAAAAGGGGAGAAAACAAACTTAGCATAAACTTGTGAATAATATCAAGATGGATGGCAAGAGCTTCTTGAGAGATATACAAAGGGAGAGAGAAGTCAAAGTGAATGGTGCCCTTTCGAGTAAAAGACTGGGGAAATAAAAATGAGGAATGAGGAAATGGCAGCAGAGATGAAAAAATACTTTGAATCAGTCTTCATAGTAGAAGACACTGGACAGCTTTCCAAAATTATTAAAATTATTAAATATAACAGCTTTATTTAAAAAAGACATGGAGATAAAGAACAGGTAACTATAGGCCAGTTAGTTTAATGTCTACATTTGGGAAAATGTTAGAATCTATTGAAAAAGATATAATAGCAGAGCATTTAGAAATACATAATATCATCAAGCAAAGTCAGCATAGTTTCTTCAAGGGGAAATCGTGACTGACAAATTGATTAGAATTTTTTGAGCAGGTAACAAGCATGATAGATAAAAGGAAGCAGTGGATATGATATATTTGTTTTTTTCAGAAGGTGTTTGAGAAGGTGCAACACATTAAGCTACTTAATAAGAGCCTGTCGTGTTGTACATAATATACTAGCATGGATAGGGCGTTGGCTAGCTCGATAGAGAGTTGGGATAAGGAGGCCATTTTCACGATGGCAACCTTTAACTTGCAGACTGCCACAGGAATCCATGCTAGGGCCATAACTATTCACAAATATATGTTAATGATGTGGATGAGAAAATTAAATGTACTATGTCCAAGTTTGTGGATGACACAGACATAGGTGGCAACAGGAAATAGTGAAGATGACACAGAGTCTGCACAGGTATATTGACAGGATAAATGAATGTGCAGAAACTTGGCAGATGGAATATAATACAAGTAAATGTGAGGTTATGAATTATGGCAAGAAGAATAGAGGAGCTGAATATTATTTAAATTCAGAAAAAAACTCTGGAGAAATCTACAGAAGTGGGGGATTGGAAATCCTCATCAGTGAGTCACAACAAGCTAGCATCCGAGTTCAGTAGGTAATAGGGAAGGTAAATGGAATGTTGGCCTTTATTTCAAAGAGAATGGAGAACAAATGAGAGGCAATCTTATTAAAACCACAGAACCATAGCAATGATACAGCACAGAAAGGGGCTATTTGGCCAATTTTATCCATGCCAACCCAAAGACACCTAGATGCCCTTTCTAATCTCATCTTCTAGTGAATCTTCTCTACACTCTCCCCAGAGCAACTGCACACAGTACTCCAGGTGAGGCATTACCGGTGTTGTAGCTTACAGCAATCCTTTACACTGTCCACCACATGGCCAATTTTTGTGTTGTCTGCCAATTTCCCAATTGTGCCCTCATGTTCAAATCCAAATCGTTGATTTCTGAAACAAACAACAATGGACCCAACACCAAGCCTTGCGGAACACCACTTGAAAGGGTAGCCACTGACGATTACCTTTTGTTTCTCGTTACTAAGCCAACTTTGATCCAATTTGACACATTACTCTGTATCCCATAGGCTTTTACTATTTTGACCACTATGCCATGTGGAACCTTGTCAAATGCCTTACTGAAATCCATGTAGACAGCATCCACTGCATTACACTTATCGATCCTCCTTGTCACTTCCACAAATTAAATTTGTGAGGCATGACCTTCCCTTAACAAAGGCATGCTGACTATCCCTGGCTTTCTAAGTGACAGTTTATCTGATCTCAGGATTGATTCTAACAAATTGCCCACCACCAAAGTAAGATTAACTGGCCCAACTGTTTAGCGTTTCCTTTGTACCCTTTTTAAGAATGGAACCACATTTACATTCCCCCCCCAGTCCTCTGGCACCTCACTTATGTCTGGTGAAAATTGGAAATAATCCTCAGAGCATCTTCTATTTCATGTCTGACCTCCTCTAACATCCTAGGGAACAATCTATCCAACTCTGGCAACTTATCCACCTTCAAGGATTCAAAATCCTCTAATACTTCCTTTCTTGTTATGATTATTTTGTACAATATTCCACACTGCCCCTCTTAGATTACAATATCTATATCATTCCCCTCTTTTGTGAAGACGAAGACCAAAAATTTGTTTAAAATTCTTCCCATATCCTCCGCATCTTCACACAAGCTCCCTTCTTCATCTCTGATAGGTCCCATTTTTCCTTAACTATCCTTTTGCTCTTTACGTACTGGTAAAAGATCTTTGGGTTTTCCTTTATATTGCTTGCTTTTTTTTTTGTGGCATGTCTTTGATTACCTTCTTTTTTTATTTTTGGAGGGGATATAGAACATAGAACATAGAACATAGAACAGTATAGCACAGTACAGGTCCTTCAGCCCACGGTGTTGTGCCGACCTATTATCCTACTAAGATCAAACTACCCTGCATACCATTAATTATACTAGCAACCATGTGCCTATCCAAGAGTCGCTTAAAAGTCTCTAAGATATATCTGCTGTGTATCCCAAGGATATTACATTTTAGTGCCTCCTATTGATATACCACTCATTTATCCTTTTGCAGTCCTGTCCAGTCCACCTTAGTCAACAACACGTGTGATATCAACACGTTCAAGGTTCTCACATAAGGAAGGGAGGTCAGGTAGACAACATTAATTGAGTGGGATAATAAGTACTGTTGGATTTTTTACAGCCAGCTTTAAAAGGGAGAAGTTGTGCACTTAGAAAAAGCCAGTAGTATTAGCCAGCATTGCCACAAGGTAAAATACCGCAACAGTCTTGATCTGGACAGAAATTCAGATTCAATATAACAGGAGACAGGGTAGAGGAAATGAGTCTGGAATGAAATGAATGTTAGAAAAACATGAGAATAAAGAGAACCTATCTCTGAGGCAGGCAAGTCCGAAAGACTTTAAATTTGGTGCAATGAAGGTGGGGAAAGGCGATGGCTTTATGGTATTACCGCCAGATTATTAATCCAGAGACCTAGGGTAATATTCTGGGGACCCAGGTTCAAGTCCTGGCATGGAATCTGAAGTCAATACAAAAAAAACTTCTGGAATTAAGAATCTACAGAGCACCATGAAATAATTGTCAATTGACGGAAAATCCCATCTGATTCACTAATGTCCTTCAGGGAAGGAAATCTGCCATCCTGACCTGGTCTGGCCTACATGTGATTCCAGACCCATAGTAACGTGGTTGACTCTCAAACTGCCCTCTGAAATGGCCTAGCAAGCCATTCAGTTGTACCAGTCGCTCACCACCACCTTCTGAAGGGCAACTAGGGATGGGCAATAAATGCTGGCCAGCCAGCGACGCCCACATCCTACAAAATGAATGAATGAATAAAAAGAAGATTGATGCAGGTGGTGCGTCAAGGGAGCAGAGAAAGAGAATGGTGAGTTTTGATTCTCCAGTACCAAAAGGAGCATTTGGTTGTAGAACAGGGGCAAATTTTTAAGATAGTGAAGTAAAATGTAACAATCAGATTAGTTTTGTAACAGGTTAGCTCAAATCTGGAGCCTTTGGATTTTGGGAAGACAACTGGGAGAGTACTGGAACAAAACTTCAAGAGCAGAAGAACTACTGTGTACTTCAATTGAGACAACAGTCATAGCAGGTGAAAGATAGTAGAAAGAATTGGAGAGTGTGACTAGCAAATGTGGTATAAAACCATGCTGAAACACTTCTCCCCCTGAGCAGAGTTTAGGGAGAGTGGTAATGGGGCGAGGAGGTGATAACAAAAAAAGGAAGCAAATGATCAGAAATTGCCTAGTCAATGTTTGAAACTTTGAAGGTAGCCTGTATACTGAAAATGACAGATAATTATCTCAAGTACTAAGTAAAAGTAATAAATAAGAAACACCTGGGTTGGTATTGGAAGTGAACTTTCAGGCAGAAAACTGTTGCTCAGATGGGAACCTTTGCTGCTGTGCAAGGAAGTTGCGTTGTGAACTAAAGAGAATACATTAAAATTGAATTTTTAACATAAAATAGTATTTTTAATTGCAAACAAAATAATTTTTGATTGATAAAATTTAGCATAATTTGCACCACCATAAGAAGAGCATGTCACTTACCAGTTTGCACTGTGAATGGGTGTGTTTGAGTTGTTGGACTGGTATTTGAATTCATGACAGGAAATGGGACTGAAAGCTGAGCATTTAGTAGCTGGAGGCGCTCCTTCTTAGCTGTCAAATTTTTAATTTGCTCTTCTAGCTGCCGATTTTCAACTTGAAGTTGGTGTAGTGATTTCAACATTCCCATAACTATTTGGACAAAAAGAAGGGTGAATAACTGAAAAAGTAATTGAAACAATAACAAACCTCAAACAACTTAAAAAAGCGCAAAGGAATTGAAGATTTGGGGGAAATTACAGTGAAAGGAAACATATCATAACTAGTAAGATTTCTGATAGTGGAGGAAAAATCAGTGAGGTGCAGAAAATATAACTTTAGAGTTAGGCATGCAGCTAAAAATGAAATGCAATAGTGTCCAAGTTTTACACATATGAGGCAGTATGTTGAATTTTTCAAAGACATTAGTTATTACATAATTGGAGTTTTACACGCTTTCTGGACATCCCAGCATAGGGAAGATATGAGAGATATGGAAAGGGTACAGTGAGGATGCATCAGAATTACACCAGGAATTGGGTTATGGGTGTAGAAAGAGGCTTGTTGGAAAGTTAAGGCTCTTTTAGCTCGAATAGGTAAGGGTCAGGGACTTAAAACATATCTCTTATCATTGTGGAATGTTTAGAGAGGGCAAATAATTACTTCCACAAATTGGTGAATTAGTAACAAGAGCATATACATGCAATATTATCTCAAGAATGACAAAGGTGTGAAACTAGAAGAAATATTCTCTTATTTCAGTTCCAAAAGTTTCACAGAATGAGAAGTAGATCACAAAAGACTACTGAAGTAGAAATACTTAACATCCTTTAAAACAAGTGAGCTGTGTGGAAAATCGGAACAATAGGATCACAGCACACTACCCAATTCGAAGACATTCCAGATGCCAGATCCCAGACAAGGCTCCCAATTCGTTATGATTCCAGATGGGATACCCCCAAACTTTAAGCTCCTGGATGAGGAGGAATGAACTGGCTCACCTGCTCCTTTGTTTATTGCAACAAGATTAATTTATAAAAAGATCCCTTCCCTTGTGGATACCTTTCTCTCAGACCCAAATTTCAAAAGGAGCCAATTTAGCCATGTTTTCTTGAACAAAAGAGTGAGTTCATTCAATACTAAACTCACAAAGAACTGATCATCTAACAGACTTACACAACAATTAGAAATAAGAGGGAGCCAAAAAAGATATTTTTTTCTTAAAGAAATGAATATATTATTAGTGGGTGGTGCTAATGGCACGCTTCACTATTAGCCCTTTCTGACCCATGACAACATTTTGGATGATGTTGAATTTCTTCAGTGCTGTTGAAACTGTGCTCATTTAGTTTAATCTGTTGTGCTCCTGATTTGTTTTGTATTATGGAAGAGGCTTTGGGGAGTCAGATGGTCAATCAGTTACTACAGTGTGTAAAGCTTTTGACTTGCTCTTGTAACCACAGTGTTTATATGACTGGCCCAGTTAAACTTCTGGATTGTGGCTGATAGTATAATGATAAAATGTTGAATTTCATGAGGAGATGTTGGAGATGGTCAATTGCAGGTATTTTAAAGATGCAAATGTTACTTGCCAAGCTTAAATGACATTCAGGTCTTGTTACACGCTGGCACAAGTTGCTTCATTAATTGAGGTGTTACGAATATAACTGCTGCAATTGACAGTGAATGGCCCAACTTCCAAACTTGTCAATGGAAGGTCATTGAAACAACTGGAGATGGCTATGGATATGTTAATTCAGTGAGCAAAATATTGGCATATGGATTATAACATAGGAAAATGTGAACTTGTCTACTTTTTCAGGAAAGCTGGAAAAGCAGTGTATTATTTGAGTGGTGAGAGATTACAGGACTCTGAACTTAAAAAGAATCTTGGGTGTTCTGATATATGAATCAAAGTTGATATGTATGTACAAAAGTGATTAGGAAGACAAATGAGTCAAATGCTTATTGCAAGGGGAATGGAATATGAGAGTACAATTGTTTTTCCACAGTTGTATAGGGAAATGGTGAGACCATATCTAGAGTACTGTTTGCAGTTTTAATCTCCTTATTTAAAGCATATAAAGGTGTTATACAATTCAGAAGATATCTTGTACTGCTACCTGGGATGAGAGAGGTTATCTAATGGGGAATGATGGACAGTCCAGACCTGCGTTCATTGGTGTTCAGGGGAATGAGAAGTGAACTTATGTATAAGTTCCTGAGGAGACTTGACGGGATGGATGCTGGAAATTTGTCTCCCCTTGTTGGAGAAAGTAGTACTAAGAAATGCAGTTTAAAAATGAGGGACCTTCTATTTAAGATGAGGAAGAGAACTTTTGTGTTATGCGTTTTTGAAATTCTCTTTCCTAAAGAGTGGTGAAGGCTGTATCATTCAGTATTTTTAAAGAGATAAGTAAATAACCTTTGAATCTCTTGTTAATTAAGAATCTATCTGGGTAGGCAAGAATATAGAGCCGAGGCTAGAATCAGATTCTGCTCCTAATTTATATATTCTTATGTTCTGGAGCTGAATTGCATTGAACAACCACAAGTGTCTTCCTTTCTGCTTGGCATACTCAAGCCAGTGCAGTGTTTCCTGTTACACAATTACTTCATTGGTATTAAGGCTTATTGATGCCACAGTTGATGAAAGCTTTCCTTGATGACATGGATAATTATGATAATTCCAAACAGTGGAATCTTTCATCCCTGGATTAGATCTTCAGTAAAAGGCCATTAACTCACTGCACCATTTAATTCTCGTCTACGCCTTATAGTAACTTTTATCATTAAAACAAGTAACTCGGGTTTATTAACACCGGAGTAACATTTTTGATGCATTGTCATTGTAGTGCACATTGTAAGGTCCTGGGGAGTGCTGCTGAACAGAGAGATCTTGGAGTGCAGGCTCATCTTTCCTTGAAAGTGGAGTCCCAGATAGACAGGATAGTGAAGAAAGCATTTGGTATGTTTGCCTTTATTGGTCAGTACTTTGAGCAAAGGAGTTGGGAGGTCATGTTGTGGTTGTACAGGACATTGGTTAGACCACTTTTGGAACACTGTACGCAATTCTGGTCTCCTTGCTATAGGGAGGATGTTGTGAAACTTGAAAGGGTTCAGAAAAGATTTACAAGGATGTTGCCAAGGTTGAGGGTTTGAGCTGTAGGGAGACGCTGAATAGACTGGGGCTGTTTTTCCTGGAGCATCGGAGGCTGAGGGGTGACTTTATAGAGGTTTATAAAATCATGAGGGGCATGGATACGGTGAAATAGACAAGGTCTTTTTCCCAGGTGGGGGAGTTCAAAATTAGGGGACATAGGATTAAGGTGAGAGGGTAAAGATTTAAAAGGGACGCAAGGGGCAACTTTTTCTCACAAAGGGTGGTACATGTCTGGATTGAGCTGCCACAGAAAGTGGTGGAGGCTGGTACAATTACAACATTTAAAACGCATCTGGATGGGTGTATGAATAGGAAGGGTTTAGAGGGATATGGGCCAAATGCTGGCAAATGGGACTAGATTTATTTAGCACATAGTATCTGGTTGGCATGGATGAGTTAGACGAAAGGTCTGTTTCCGTGCTGTACATCTCCATGACTCTAGTGAGCTGACTTCTAGCACTCAGTAAGAGAGTTTCTTTACCTGCAATGCAGGGGTGACTCACGGATAGTTCTTCTACAGTGACCTTCACAGTACACAATGCTCACACACAGGCATCTTAGCCCAAGGGCACACACAAGGAACTCTGTCCCACTTGCACACACGCAAGTAGAGTTGAAGCTGGCTTTTTAACTCCTGTCCCTTGTGCATTCTTTAGAGAGAAAAACACAAAATGTGTCCGCAGTTTAGGACCTAATTCACAGTGGTGGCTCACTGAGGCAAAGAGGTCATCAGCCCCTCGCTAACTTTGTACTCACAAGAGATCACAGTCTAAATTGATCTGACATCTCTTCCCCTTTTGAAGGATTGTTGTTTGAAGTTCCCTATACATCCTTAGGTGTGTCATTGTACGGTTTGGTTTCTCCAGACAGCCACTTAATTTATATTCAAAGCACTCTGTCTCTTTTTAAAAATAATGTTTTGGGATAAAATCTAAAATATGCGTAGTACCTTTGGTTCTGATCAATGGTCGTGACACCTGATGGAAAAGTAGTGTCTGTGCACACTACAGTATTCGGTGAATCTTCGAGGAACCACAGGCTTTCTTTAAACCCCGTGTTAGGAACATTCACCTTTTAGAATATTCATCCCATTGCTTAACATGGAGGTTTGCTCATTTTCTTTCCCCAAAAAATAAGCAATAATTCGTAAGGTTTCTTTTCTGTATACTTCCTTATAAACAGCAAACTCACATCAAAAGTTGAAGAAATGGGTCTTACATTTATTAGATTAAAAACTGAAAATCTGTATGTATATTTTAATGCTTAGCTAGCTAAACTTTTTTTTATTATAGGTGTTTTGGTGACAAAGTGAAACTAAAAGGAGATCAAAATGTCAAGATTTACAAATGAGTTCAAACATTTAAATTATAAAAGATGGCAAGTCATCAACATTTAAATGAAAAAAATCACTAAATCTTACCAGGAAGTTTAGTAAAGTCTGGTTAAAATATTAGCTTCAGCTGTTAACACAGCTCATTCATCCAATCAATAATTATGACATGCAGACAAGGAATGCCACAGGTATACGGCAATCTATTGAAATGCAGCGAGGAATTTTTTAGTAAATAATGCTATGGTAAATGAACAATCAGCCCTGTTCTGGTCCTGATTGTAGTTACACTACCAACAGAAATTACTGTTGCAAAGTTATAAAAAGGCAAAATTAGATGCAGAAGTGATACAATTTGTTAAGTGTGTACAAGAAAATTTTCTGATTCAGAATGTAGATGTACCTACTAGAGAAGGTGCAAATCTTGACCTACTCTTGGGAAATAAGGCAAAGCAGGTGACTGAGGTGTCAGTGGGGAGCACTTTGGGGCCAGCGACCATAATTCTATTAGTTTTAAAGTAGTGATGGAAAAGGATAGGCCAGATCTAAAAGTTAAAGTTCTAAATTGGAGAAAGGCCAATTTTGATGGTATTAGGCAAGAACTTCCAAAAGTTGATTGGGGGCGGATGTTCATAGGTAAAGAGATGGCTGGAAAATGGGAAGCCTTCAAAAATGAGATAACAAGAGTCCAAAGACAGTATGTTCCTGTTAGGGTGAAGGGCAAAGCTGGTAGGGAATGCTGGATGACGAGAGAAATTGAGGTCTTGGTCAAGAATAACAATGAAGCATATGTCAGGTATCGACAACAGAGATTGAGTGAATCCCCAGAAGAGCATAAGGGGTTGGAGTATACTTAAGAGGGAAATCAGGAGGGCAAATAGGGTTAAGGAGAATCCAAAGCGATTCCACCAATACATTAAGGGAAAAAGAGTAATGATGGAGTGAATAAGGCTCCTCAAAGATCAGCAAGGCCGCCTATGTTGGAACTGGAGGAGATGGGGGAGATAAAAAAACGAGTATTCTGCATCAGTGTTACTATGGAGAAGGATATACAAGATAGAGAACATGGGGAGATAAATAGTGATATTTTGAAAAATGTCTATATTACAGACGTGGTGGTGCTGGATGTCTTAAAATGCATAAAACTAGGTAAATCCCCAGGCCCTGATCAGGTATACCTGAGAACCTGTGGGAAGCTAGGGAAGTGATTGCTGGGCCCCTTGCTGAGGTATTTGTATCATTGATAGCCACAGGTGAGGTGTCAGAAGCCTGGAGGGTGGCTGTGGTGCCATTATTTAAGAAAGGTGGTAAGGAAAAGCCAGTGAACTATAGACCAGTGAGCCTGACATTGGTGGTAGGCAAGTTGTTGGATGGAATCCTGACAGGAATTACATTTATTTCGTAAGGCAAGGATTCATTAGGGATAGTCAACATGGCTTTGTGTGTGGGAAATCGAGTCACACTAACTTGATTGAGTCTTTTGAAGTAACAAAGAGAATTATAGAGTCATAGAACACAGAAATAGATCCTTCAGTCCAACCAGTCCATGCTGAACATAATCCTAAACTAAATTAGTCCTACCCGCCTGCTCCTGGCCCATATCCCTCAAAACCTTTCCTATTCATATCTCCATCCAAATGTCTTTTAAACATTGTAATTGTACCTGCACCCACCACTTCCTGAGGAAGTTCATTACACACATGAACCACCCTCTACGTAAAAAAATTTGCCTCTCGTCTTTTTAAAATCTCTCTCACCTTAAAAATGTGCCCCCTAGTGTTGAAATTCCCCATCCTAGGGAAATGACAAACACCATCAACTCTATCTATACCTCTCATTATTTTATAAACTTCTAGCAGGTCACCTCTCAACCTCAGTCAATACAGCATGGACTTGGAGAAACAAAGCAGGTCAGGCAGCATCAGAAGAGCAGGAAAGTCAATGTTTCATGTTTACACCCTTCATCAGGTCTGGGGAGGGGGAAGAGAGGTCAGAAATAAATGGGGAGGGTGGGACTGGTGGAAGGTAGGTAGGATGGTGATAAGTAGATGCAGGTAGTGAAGAATGGTCAGAGGGAAGCGTGGGGCAGATAGGTGGGAAAGAAGATGGGCAGGTTATGTCAGGTCAAGGAGGCAAGGATGGACATGGGATGAGGCCGGGAGTGGTGAGATTTTGAAGCCAGTGAATTCTATGTTCAGGCCCTCAGGCTGTAAGCTCCTGAGATGGAATATGAGGTGTTGTTCCTCCAGTTTGCGTGTGGTATCATTGTGACACTGGAGGAGGCCCAGGTTGGACATGTCACCAAGAGAATGGGAGGGGGAAGTTCAAATGGTTGGCAACCAGAAGGTGTTGTTTATTATAGCGTACGGAGCGCAGATGCTCTACAAATCGGTCACTGAATCTGCGCTTGGTCTCACAGATGTAGAGGAGACCACATCGGGAACAATGAATACAGTCGACCAGGTTGGAAGATGTACAGGTGAATCCCTGTTGGTTTTGGAAAGATTGTCTGGGGCCTTGGACCTTGGGGAGGTGTAGTGGCAGGTGTAGCACCTCCTGCAGTTGCAGGGCAAGGTGCTGGGTGTGGTGAGGTTGGTGGGGAGTGTGGAGTGGACAAGGGGTTTGCGGAGTGAGCAGTCCCTACAAGACAGATACAGGTGGGGAAGGAAATATCTCTTGGTGGTGGGGTTGGATTACAGGTGGCAGAAGAGGATGTGCTGGATGTGGAAGTTGGTGGGATGGTATGTGAGGACAGAAGAGCGGGAAATGCAAGAGATGTGGTTGAGGGCATTATTAATCAATGCAGTGGGCGGGGTGGATCTTGCAGTCCTTGAAGTAACAGGATGTCTGGGATGTCCGAGAGTGGGACGCTCCATCTTGGGAGCAGATGTGGTGAAGGCAGAGGAATTGGGAGGAAGGGATCGCATTCTCGCAGGAGGGTGTCTCTTAATAAGTGTTCAGTACAGAATAATACAGCAGAGCTATTTTGTTTCATCGGGCTTCTGCTTGCTCTTTTTATGTTATCATTTTTTTAAATATTTCAAATATTTATGCAACTCCCCACAAAAAGTTACTGTTGAATCTACTTTCACCAGTCTGTCAGACAATGCTTTCCAAATCCAAACCACTCTTGCAAAACAGTTTTTTTGTTTCCGGATGCCAACATGGTGTTCTTTTGCTCATCATCTTATCACCTTACATCTTTGTCTTCTAGTTACCAATAATTTTAGACAGTGAAAACATTTTCTCTTCATTTACTCTTTAAATCTTTCATGATGTTATGTACCTCTAGAATATTTACTCTTGGTCATCTCTGCTTCAGGAAAGTGACCTCAGGTTCTCGACTAGATATAGACACTGTTCTTCAAAATATTCTAGTAAACCTTTTCTTCACCTCAGGCAGAATCTTGTGGATCACAATCTTGAATTTTATGGAGGCAGAAGATAGCCCTGTATTACCTCTTTTGAGAAGGTCTCCTAAATATTATGCCACTAAGGCATTTAACACGACGTGGAGGTGCCAGTGTTGGACTGGGTTGGACAAGGTCAAAAATCATACAACACCAAGTTATAGTCCAACAGGTTTATCTGAAAACACCAGCTTTCGGAGCACCATCAATGTAGTGAGAAAGGCATCAAGACACAGAATTTAGAAACAAAAGATCACGCAATTGATACGATAACCCTAAAATGGCTGGGTGACTCCATCCTGTGAAATCTTTAGTCTGTTCGAAAGGAGATGCAGGTTTCAGTTGATTAAAATGCAAATCCCAGAACTTTGTTCAAGTCACTGTCCCAAGATAACCAAAGGTTTTTTCAGAGTATACAAGAGGTGACATCTCAAGTCAGACAGTGCATTTTAGGTGTCAGGTCTTGTTTAGAACCTGTCTGTGTTTTAACCTGGAGTCAGACTGATTTTATTTCCAAAGCAGGGATTTATAAAATGCCCCATTAACTGACTGTGTCTACAAATTATGCACTTTTTGAACATTCGCCCCACAGAAATTGTGTGTGTGCACGCGCATTAGCGTTATTATGATCAATTAATTGATTGCCAGTTCCGATTGGCTGCAGTGAGAAACTGTGATGACCTCCTAAGAAGACAGACACAGGATACAATTAATAGGGTACCCTTTGTCGTTCAGTACTTCTCCAGAGTAGAGAAACTATGCCATGTTTTTTGCGGCCTTTAACATATTATCG